GGTGTTGCTTCTGCGCATGCTCGGAGCGACGGTTGCAATACCGCCGATCAACATTCTTTCAGCTTGTTTAAGAAATCGCTGCTGTTGTCTGAGAGAGGAGTTAATTTCCGTAGGTTCTACGCCAACCTTTCCAACTTAATTTTCATTTCATTAAATTTTCATTTAAGTTTGTGGGACACTTTAGTACGACAAGCATCTTCGTGGTACATACAAAGGCTGCCTGTGATATCCATCCAAAAAGAGTAAAAGGATGACACTTAAACAGTATTTTAGTTCTCATCGAGGCGTTATCTGGAAGGAAAATTTGACACGAACTGCCAAATGAACAAACGAAGGTGAACATCACCTAGACCGAACACACTGCTCGTAAGGTTGGTGAGAACTCCTCGGCAGCCCACGACCGGTTTCGCCCCTCTCAGGGTTTATCAGGTGGGCACAATCCCTATTTTTTGTTCTGCTTGAATCGTGCGTAAAAGATTCCTGAAACCAATTGCTCTGTGAAACTCGTCGTATTGAGTTAGCTAGGGCACAAGGAAGAAAGTTGCGGTTACCATGCCAACCGAATTCGTCCGAAGCATGTGGGAAGCGAAGGTACAGTGCAATTGTACCATATTAATCGCTAGTGAAAGACGAAGTATTTGTAATTAATGCCCTGTCTAGCATTCTTTTTTACGGTCTAATATGTCTTGATATGTAGAGTCCTTACTTGTTACAAAATTCGCTTCAACAGTACTCCATCAAGCAAACAATTGAAGAAAGGATGAGCAATCCTTTCCGGTACCTTACTTCTTTGCCTCATCCTGACTGACTTAGTTCACTTTCGTATGTGAGCCTCCGGTTCAGGATGTATCGACTTTGTTGATATCATGAACCTGTCACATTTCAGCGATTTTCAAGGGGTATCCCTTCATACCATACACGCATTGATGTTCTTAACCCTAATCCATAGTACTCCGTTTAAAAAAACAAACAGTGCATCACACGGAACCGATCCTTTCTTAGGTCTGCCTGGGGCTCAACACTGTGGTACTCATTGGATGACATTCCAGGAGGGGTAGTCTATTAGACCCATTGAAATAGCTTATACACAACGACAATGTGGATCTACCTTTATATTTCGTGTGCGCAAATTCAGCCCGGCACAACAATGACATCTTAACCTTATCCGGGTAGTACTAATTAATTACGATGAACTATTGTCGCGTTGGACAGATCTAAACTTTACTATTAGAATACCACATTACGCTGATACTACGCAGAATCTCTTGGATTGCGTTACAAACTCTTCAAATAAGTTACAGCACTAGTAGGCAAGTTCTGGTGTCTTTCAGCCACTTACTGTTTACTAGACGATCACTTAAAAAGCGATTGGGGACTAAGTAGTCTACCATTTAAAAAAAACACTCACTTCAATAGCGACTCACAGAGGACATTTACCTTTCTTCAACGATTCCGGTATCATTCCGGTCCTTAACTAGACCAATCTTCCTACTCACTAACAGCGTGTTGCACAGACTAAGACGCTGTGGTTGAGCAAATGGCCCACTGGATCTCGATTCAACCGCCGATTCAACATTTGACATATCTTTCCAACGTTAAGATCCTGTTCGATCTATGGCGACTGGGAGTTAGACACCCGTTTTGTAGAGCAGGTTGATAGCAAGCGGAGCCTCACTTTACTCTCTCGTTTGTGGTATTCATCCACTTAATTGGATGCACCGGCCGTTTCATGTTTCAGCTTGGACAATTTCAAAGTGGCTTCCCTGGTATGGGCAGCCACATCCGATTTTGTCATTTCTAGGGTTCACCAGGGACTAGTTTCTTGGTCATGCTATCAGCTATTCCGTCGCACAACGTTCAGTGGGACAGCTGTTTAGCTGAATGTCAGAGATGACAAATGCGAAATACCAGTTTGTTCGGCCTTTCGAAAACAAAACCTGCTGGGCGTTTTCACTCAATAGTAGATTGGTGCAGTCGATAAGCCAACTCCAAATCGGTCATTCAGAGAAACCAAACCTCCTGAGACTATGTACTTATGACTGGCATCAATACGCTTCCAGTTGTCTGGCCAGTGGTGACGGAATGACCAGAGTTAACGTCTTCATAAAAGTTCTCCCGTCCATTCATATTCTACTTAGTGTACAGTGAGGAAACGGTACTCTAACTGCTACGACTTTTTGTGTTCCTATTTGAAGCTAACGTGTGCCATCTGAAAACCAAAAGTAGGTTACCAAACATGGTGAATCAATTGACATATCTGTCGATTCGAAGAGAGTTTTGTTAGCTATTTGAAACGAGGCCCTCAATTGTACCACTAGCAGCTTCAACACATTATCAGTTTCAACCACGTTCATCTCTGGAGGCGAAAGTGCACAGTGGTAACGCCACTAGCCACAGTTTTTACATATTGGCTTGTTGTTGCGACAGCGAACAGAGCGTTTCAGTGCAAACTCGACATTGTCATCGACCTTGACCACAGTAACGTGTTTGGGGGTATGCTAACAGTTTCGGACTGCTTCCTCCGTGCATGCATTTGAAAAAAAATGGTCTCGCCAGAACTGGTGCAGATCAAACAAAATCGGCTGATATGCTATCAGGTAACACAAAACGATAGTGGCTAGTATGTTTTCACTGCGAGCCAGCTGACCTTGTGTCGCAACGATTTGAAGGATTTGGTGCCGTGCTGACAGAAAGTATAGTTTAGAGTTTGCTCGGTAGTGAAGGTCGTGAAAACCCGGTGCATTTTGTCCGTGTTGGATCCGCGTTGGTGGGTCCTTATCCCGTCATATTGCAACGCTTGACGCTTAATGTCTGTATTACACTGTTGTGTTTGACACAGCGATTTGGAAATTTTGTCGAAGCAGTTCTCAACTATCTGTCGTGTCGATTGAATTAGTTAAACTCACTTGATCAGAGCTAGAAGTGCGTAGTCCATATCCAGATTAATGAAGGTAGGCGGCAATCGACCGGTCTGTGACCTAAAGGTTGATCAACTGCTTAAGTTAAAAACAACATGCAGCCTTCTAATTGCCTTTCGAAATGAATTAGGCTGATGTAGAACTAAGTTACGCGCAGGTGTTCCCAACGAAGCTAGAACTGTATGTCTGCTGCCCGATTTGGACTGCAACAATGAGGGGTTCGACCTTGAAACACATCGCGGGATTATATGCACCTCGATCTTGGTAAGAGTTTGTGCTTCAATTGCATCTGCTTTTTCTTTGAAATTTGTTGGTTCCTCAAAAACTAACATTTACGGGGTGACCAATATGAGACAGATAAGTTCGCTTTTTCTTTCCCCATACACGGATCTGTAATTCATATTTAAACAAGAATATCGATTGAAACATTCAAAACTACACGCAAAAACCATCATTTCCACCTGTGCCACGCTAGTTCCGGCTTAATTACCACAGAAATAGCGAATTTGAAGAAGTAAAATTCAACGAATTGGTGTCGCGATCAAATCAGCACTAATCTGCATAAAGTAGGGACGGTAAGACGTACGACAGCACTCACAAGGCTGCTGAAAACTTTTGACATCCCACGACCGGTTTCGCCTTTCTTGGGGCTCATCAGGTAGGCGCAGTCCCCGTGTTTCCATCGACCTTATTTTCTACTTGGACGGAAATTGCACGAACTTAGCGAACTACACTCATTTGCTTACCAATTTGATGACTCACCTGGAACCCAGGTGAATCTCTCGCTTATGTTGTTTTTTGAAACAGGTGAAAGTGCCGCACCAGGCCGTTTCATGTTTCGGTTGGCACGATATTCGAGATATCGCAATACATTGTATAGACGCAATACACCACTCATAACCTCATAAACTAATGATTAAGCTGGGTTCCACGTGAGTCTCCCGTCAAAACCAAATTGGTATGCAAGTGAATGTATTTCGCTAGGAGTGACAAGGCTTTGGTTGAACGGCCCTACCTCTTATATAACCCAGAGTTCTTAAAAGTAGAACAAAACGCAGACGTGCCTCCTAAAGTCAACTACCTCAGTCATCTCCTGTGTGAGAATGATCCGGCTTCCTGAGTGCTGAATCGCGGCCGCCTGAGTCCGATGTCAGCGACGTGTCTGCAAGTGATAGTCCATCCTTAATTCCAGAGATGCATGTCTGTGAACTTGTCCTAGAAATGTTGATGGTTTCCGTGTTTTCTCTGGTCAGTTATCTACTCTGTTGGGTTACTAACAGGAGAACGCCCACACACAATGGTTTGGAATGGCCAAGTCGGTTGTCTAATCTATTCTCTTACCGGTGTACGTCTTGTCATGCTCGATCATGTCGTTATTAAGGCTCTACAAGGTTGTGTGAAAACAACGAGGAAGTGGATCACCGTGTTTCGGAAGGAAAAGATGACTGTGACAAATGAAGGCGAAATTGCGACTGTTCAGAAAAACCCATAGAACGAGCCGACCGTGTTTTTGTTAACGTGCATGCGTTTCTTCTGTGCTAGTTGTTTCTCGAACTACCAACACCTTATGTTCTTTTGTTGCTTCGTAGCAAGTGTTGGGCCTCTTAGGGGTGATGCTTATTCCCTTTTAAGAGCTGTAGCTGCTCACTCTTCTATTCGAAATCTTTGGACATTCCGATAAACCGTCGAAACGGACAACCATTTTTGACAACTGAAACTGCACCAATACACTAACGGTCAATAACTACGTTGATTTCATTTTTCTCCCGCAGTGTCCTTAACGCTGAATGATGTCATTAGTTGTGTTGAGTGAAGCGGTTACCAAGGTAACCTGAAAAACGCTGCGCTGTTCGGATTGTGGATTATAAAACCGTCCAATCTATTGGAATCTATAATGCTTATTTATCCTTTGACGTAATTGGTGAATTAATTTCCCATGGAACCGGAATGGCTTTAGATGAATTTATCTATCTCTAGTCTTCTAATTTGGAACATTCGCCATTTTTCAACCATTCTAGTACTGGTTATATGTTTTTGGTAGTCTTCACAATTCTCTATCTGTTTACCTCCCCTCCAACCAAGGTCACTGGAGAAGGAGAAAAAAATACTTCCCCCTCGGAAGAGACTGCGATAATGCGTCACGAGGCTCTTGCTTCTATTCCCGAAGGTCATATTACTACCGGTGAAGAGCAGCCCGTCACCACCCCTAGCAGCGAAACTCCAGGTTCACCTCGCCCACCCGCAGCAGCATTTTTGCTGCGGAAGCGGCAAGGTGTTTCTGGCGAGTCCCTTCGTACTACCATAGAATTGAAATACCATGAAAAAAATGCTGCGTAAGTTAGACTCTTGCCTGACTTGAATATCATAATTTGATGTATTGAATTGCCGATGAAGTGAAAGTTTCGCAAATCGCTTGGGTTGCACTGTCGTCATCTCGAGGTTGCAGGATATCCGACCTTGATTGGGTCAACGGTTGTCTTTATCAGTTGTTTTTCGAGTAATGTGTTTCCAGTTTCAATATTGGTTTACTTGGTAACAGTATCTTCTGAGTGTAATATGATTAAGTTTATTTACTATTCGTCCGTCTTTTGATGGAGAACTTTTCACCACTGTTGATTTGTAGCTTACACGAGTGTTCTGTGGATGTATATGATAAAGCATCCTTGAGCACGAAGTACCTGTTGTTGTGACAAAGTGGGTACATATTTTCACAATGGGCCATTCTTGGGCTTCTGTTGGAGATCGACACTTGGTCGTCCGAATACAACTTCGTCATCTTAGTGGCTGTCCTTACAGATAGCGTGAGAGCTACGCTATGAACTCTTCATTATCATGAACTTTACATGAACTTTATCCTTGTTAGTGACTTTGCTTGGATAACTATAGATAGGTAATAACTGTGTAGTCTACAGTTTGTTATGTCTGTTTCATTAGGTGTGAGCTCCACCAAAACAGCAATGACCGCTCTGCGACATTCTCGGTTTGGAACTCCCACAATATTCTTATACGAGAGCTCGTGATTTAGGTGAAGGGTAGACCACATAAATAAATGATTTTGTCCTGTACAAGTGACTCATAATACTTCTCAGACCTAACTTTTATCCACTGACGCAACTCTGTTCAGTTCAGTTCAGCATGAACAGTAGGTATGAGTAGCTGGCCAAATTGTCGTAGTGTGTTTCAATAGTTTAGATTTTGTTTAACTGATACAGCGGAGGTGAGGGTCTCCCCTACGAAAGTTTCGCTCAAATCGGGATTGTGATGGTTTATTCTCTCGTCTCACAGTTACTGACCTTCGATTCTTGCGAGTCTCATTTCCAGTTATCTTATAGTCCATAACTAGTAAAGAAGGCACCGTTTCGCTTTTCTGTCAGCAGCGTGCGGTTGAGGTGCCTTTTTTACTACAGAAGCACCCAATTTATTTTGAAAGTGATTTTCAGCTGACACATTTGTGGTTTGTAGGTCGTGCGGTTTTGCATTTCCAACAATATCTTGATCGCACAACCTAAATCAATCCATGGTGAAAGTCTGGAACGATTAATGACGGTTTTTTATCCGTGTTGGGAACCATCACCAGTGCTTACCCATGAAATTTCAAGGCGATCCGAACGCACGAACTTCCGGTCAGTAGCTGGACATTAGTTGTCACTCGATACACTGTCAATACCGGAGAGTGTGACGTGAATAGTGATTGAAAGATGATCGTTCTATATCTTGAGTGTGAATAATTCATGCTGCCAATCAACCACTTTTTTCAACTACCGACCGGATGTCCGCACATTCAAATTTCCCTTGAAAGACGCTCACTGCTCCCTAAATAAAATAGCTTTACGGTGTATCTTGGCTTTGTAACATAGTCTGGCTTTATTTGCAGGTTGAATATACAAGGTATACGTTTGCGTCAATTTTATCGACCTGACGAGAGTATCATTGGTCGGCGATGTCATGCACAGTTCTTTGTGGATTACTCAACTTGACCGAAAAATTGACAGCTTTCAAGCTGTCGGCACTTGACCGGGCATTTATTGGTATAATTCAGTCATATCTCGTTAAGGTTGGGGATTGAAGTCGCGTCTGTGTTGCTGTTTGTTGTTGGCCAATCGGGTCTCAGTCCACTGTTTATGAGCCAGCGTGGATTTTCCCTCGTGGTATCGGTTCATGCTATGTGGCAGGTCTCATTGCGTGCCGTCGGTTCAGGGAATTGAGGCGGCGTCCTAGCTTTCTGTTGCTTGCAGTTTATAAATATCCCAGTAACCTTGTTTGTGACAGTTCATGTTGGGCTAAAATACAATATTCGAATTCGATTGAATTCCTTTCATTGGTTGTGTTCTTATTTTTCTGCTACAATTTGCAAGAGCTCGGCAACAAATCAGGGAGGCTTTTCGAAGCAGCGATCTGTTGATGAACCTGGATGCGGTACAGTTGCAAGAAATAGTCAGTTGTATGCACGAACAAGAAATTCCAGCCGGTTGCTACATTATTCGTGAAGGTGACGATGGAGAACATTTATATGTGGGAGCAGGTGGGTATCCGTATGAGTTTTTTTCTGAAGTTATCTGAATCTCGAGATTCCATATCTGAGGTACACATTCTCGTCAGTGAAGAATTTGAAGCTTCTAACTTTAAGTACCTGTCCATAGTTATTCTGGATACGGGAACTCTGGTCGGATTCAGATAGGGGATGAACCTCGTAACTATGTACCTTGCAATCAGATAACTCTCGGTTGCTCATGGCAAATGAGAAAGGTCATTTTAGTGTTTCAACTCAAACCACTTAACTAATGAACTTGGCGAGTGCGTAAACACACATCGACTTTATCTAGGGTGGCTTAGTGATGCACATGAGGGTTATATGCATTTCCTAGTAATTCCCAATCGTCAATTTACCAAGTCGAAGCTCATTTCGTCTTTGGCAAGGGCTGCATGTGCCTCCTTGGAAAATCATTCCATATTTTCACAAGCTTCCGCGAATCCACTTTTGTCCACAGATAAGCCCATGTTTGTGTGTTTCGAATGAGGGAATCTTAGTTTTCCAATCTGGTTAAGTACCAACCTATGAGACATCTTATGATTGTGTGTATTCGTAACGGTGTGCATTCAACAACTCTTCTGAAACATTGCATGATATGAAGGTGTCGACTTAGGATCGTTCACATTGCCTCCCTCACATTGAAACACGAATTCACATTTACGGCAAGAATTCACGAATCTTTGAGTATCAAGAGAACTCACTCGGCACAGGTACGGTTCACTGTGGGACCCTTTATCACAGTGGGCACCCACCCACCCCCGCTTGATTTTCTTCTAGTGCAGATTACTGCTTTTCACTCGTGAATCGGTGGCACACGTATCTGTGTTAATTGCACTGATTGGGTTTTGTAATAATCAATAATCGTTCCACCGTAACACCCTTTCGGTGCTTAAATGGCATGCCACCCGAGAGGAGTAATAGACCAGGTTACCGAGGCCTAGATAGGGTCATTCGTGATGCAGAGGTGGCTTGCGATTCACGGACCTTCTGGTCAGTAAGTTCGTACCTTAATTGGTAATGTGTTGGAATATTGGTAGCTCGGGTGTATTGGTTGGTAATTGATCAGGTGGCTGTTGATCTGTTCGCCGAGCTTGGCAATTGGTTTGCCGCCAAGCTCGGCGAACAGATCAACAGCCACCTGATCAATTACCAATCGTACCTTAATTATTCAGAAATCCCTGGGTACTTTCGTACTAACTTGTTCTTTTGGGTTGTATCCTAAACCGTACTCTTTGAATAGGATCTGTCCTGCCACCACCTTGATCTGCTGCACCAGACACTTCAGGAGTAGTGATAACTTGGTGCACCGCTGCGTTCGCTCGCTCAACGCGTTCCAGTCTAGTCGGGTGAATAGTTTTGAACGCGGTCCTGTTTGAGAAATGTTTTTTTCCTCCTAAGCTTCCTAATGAAAAAAGAGCTCTCAATTCTTCAGACATGATTCGCCGGCACAAAGTGGATAAAACTGGAAGTCCTGTTGAATTGTCACATCGCAATCCATTTTGTATTTCCGACCTTGTGTATACTTTTAAGCCCGTGGAAGTGTGCATTAGAAGTCTAAGTACACAATGCAGGGAACATACGCATGCGATGATGGGTAAGTGAATCTGCGAGCACGTTCAGACAAGTTTACGTACCGCATTTAGTAGAGGTTTCACTGGAATCCAACGAACCCCTGTTGTAGCCAGTTGTTCAATAAATTTCAATTATATATCTTCCCTTGATGGCAAGACAGCTTTAAAGTAATGAAAATCCGCAACTTTAACTAAAATGTTCACTAGGAAGATCGTGCTGTAAACTCAAAAGTTCCTATTCTAATTTCTTTTAACCATCTGTTTGAAGGCTTCAAAACCATCAAGTCTGCACTTTACTTCTCTACCCTTCATGAACATATTTGATCTGGAGTTACTATCCTGACTAACGAGCTGAATGTGTTCATATCTTTGCGAAATACACTCAGTTGTAAACAAATTTGGTTTTTCGAGAGGCCAACCTGAAACCCAGCTGAATCTCTCGTTTATGATGTATCCAAGCAACTGAATGTGTTACACCGGGCCGCCTCATGTTTCGAGATATCGCGGTAATATGTACACGTAATGCACTACTCATAAGGTTGTGAAAATTCTTCGACAGCCCATGACCGGTTTTGTCCTTTTTGGGCCTTATCAGGTAGGGGCAGTCAGTAGGCGCACACTTGCTTGGAAACCTCATGAACGAGAGATTCAGCTACGTTCCAGGTGAGTCTCTGGCAAAACCAAAATTGTTTTCAAGTGAGTGTATTTCGCCTATTTCGTGCAATTTGGTTTCAGGTAGAACATAAGGTTGACGGACTGCGCCTACCTGATGAGCCCTCAGAAAGGGCGAAACCGGTCGTGGGCTACCGACGAGTTTTCAGCAACCTTATGAATGGTGTATTACGTATTCATCTCTTATCTGTCAAGGTCCTTGGTAGAACTTGAGGATACACGATCACAGCAGTCTCATATTATTTGTGCTTTCAGAGGGACGGTATGAAGTATCGAAGGAAGGGAAAATCTTGTCGGTAATGGATGCTGGACGATGCTTTGGAGAATTGGCACTATTGTACAACTGTAAACGGACGGCTTCCGTCAAAGGTGAGTATGACTGAATGCTTCAAGCATGTACTTAGTTGTTTGGAGATTCTGCCGGTCCAGGCAATCATGTGTTTCCTGTTGTGACGTTTCCAAGACAACATGTGCCACCGCGAACCTGAGGAGTCGGTAGGTGCACCTTCATTGGACAGACGATAAGAGGTTTAGCCCTTGCTGGGAGCACTCGGCAGAGATAACAAGCCAGCCACACTGTACAGTTCCAGCGCTCGAGAAACAGACCTTGTTTCGGATGGTTTCTTGAGTCTTTATTGAATTTGATGACCCATAACGGACTATCTCTCAATTCAGATCGCTGACCTGTTTTGACGACGTACTTGGATCTAACCAATCTCAAGGAAAATGTGGGACGAGGCATCTGTATGTTCTGAAACATTGCCCGGGTTGTCTAGCGCATTTGTGTCTCAACCAACGGGTTTCAAATCCCCGCGCACAACTGCTCAGCGCACTTCCAGTTCCACATTGCTAAACAGCCTCACAACGATGCACCAACGATGTTACTGCGATTGGTGATGAAACGTTTGCAGTTGCTTAATTGCCCTTTCAGTGGACAAACTAACGACCCATTACGTACTCTGACCTACCAACGTTTCCTTCAGTAGCCTACTTGACTTACCATTCACTTCGGCAACCATTCCCAGTCCGATATCGTCATGTTATCTTTGGTTGGCGACTAATTCTACATCCCTGTGCTTCGACGATCACCTTGCAAGCAAAATAAACTACAAGGTGACACTGGTAACTGGGCGTTCCCCCATGTTAAACGTATGGTTTCCGGGCCATCAAATAAGATCATTCCTCAACAGTTTAACATTCTTCACATATTTATCCTCGTTTGATTTTTATATCTGAAAAGTCACACTGTCTTCTGTCATGTGATTGCTAGTATATTTACCATCTATGTAGCATCTATTGTCGGTGTAGACGCTTCTGTCACGTGGTCCGAATAGATTCATGATCCGAAACAACGTTCAGTACGTGCCTTCAAATGTTTATTGCAGCGCTCTTGATCGATTTCCACCCTTCTGTCGGAAGTCATTCGAGTTTCCCGTTGTGTAGCTCACAGTCGTCTTCGTTCGACGTGGGACCACTTTTTTCTTAGGCCAAACCAGGTCAAGTCAGGGAGAGAGTGAATTGTTAGCACACAAATTCATATCAATATGAAATAATCGTGTTGAGAACCTATGAGAAATCACCAGACTCGAAGAGTGTTATTCGGGCTGTGCCTACGAAATAATGGTGACGGTGGCATCGTGCATAGCGGCATGCTGGGAAGATAACTATAAAGTTGGAATACATCCGGGGAACTTTTAGAAACGTTTTCGTCAGCGTGGTGTGAACGTCATCACTTGGATTACGGCATTTCGTAGTCTCTGTTTACAAACCATACCTCTTCGGATTGCTTGTCTAATGATACGTCATGACAACAAGTTCAATTGGAATATAGTGTAATAGGCTTCCAAAATCACGTTCAGGCAAATGTTAACTCGCAACAATCTCCATGAAAGCATATTTTATATGTAAGCAGTATGAATCAACTCCGTTTTTCTCCCCTGTTTTGGCCCTTCCTCAAGATACACACTTTAAATTAGGAATCAGTGCGTTGAATACCTATATTCTGTCGGCATCACACATGGCTATAAGCTATTCCCTCCGTTCACCAATTTTTTTCATACCCGTAAACCCCTCAATCAGTTGATTTAAGGGACTTTCTAAAATTGCGTAAATTAATGTCTTTAGTAGAATGTATTCACCTACAGCAATTAAGCATCAGTCAAAGTTGGACAATAAATTCAGTGACTTTACCGTGGCCCACCACTCATCATCTGTATCCCTAATTTTTCGGTCAATCTCGGTTTATGTGATCCAGATAGACACTCACTTTAATTTCTAAAACGCGTTGGGTTTATGAGGTTTTGATTCACTCAACTTTTACAAGCTATGCAATCTATGGTTTCCCATTCGACCCCAAGCCAATACACCCAAAATGTCGTACTGGTATTACGTTTGCGTAATTCGTTATTTAGACAGCGAACTTTATGGGGTGACCAACACTTTCTACTTGTCATTTCGCGCTGGTGTTTTCCTGATATGACGAACAGGCCGTGGCAGTTGATTGCTTTCCAGTCAACCCTGTTTGTATGTACTGTACGTTTCCCAGTCGCACATCTGCACACAGTCACGTCAGTGATTTACCTATCGTTCCGGTGAAAAGAATTTACTACGGTGTAACAGGAGCGCTGCGGCATACCAGATACCCTAATGACAAATCAATAGTACGAAAAAGTTTGCGGGCCGTTGTTTTTATCGTCATATGTTGCATTAGTGACAGTTGTTCGGTGTGAACTCTGTCCAACGCCAATCGCCAATGATGATTTACGGTATTAATCGTATGTACAACAAAATGCACTTCGGTCGAATCGATGCCAACGATTCTTTGAATTTCGGCAAGCTGAAGACGTTTAGCTGTGTATGCATACCTATTCCTCCATTACATTTGCAATCCGTACACATCGCCCTCAAGCTATGACGTAAAGGTTGGTCTCGAGCAAACAGGAAGTCCGTTTTTGGTTGGAGATCCAGAGAGTTCACTTGCATTTTGTTTACAAACCTTTAATTTAAATTTTTCATCCACTAGGGTAAACGGACGATGTAAAACCATCCATTCACAAGTCTTCCCCGGTTTGTTGACCTTCCAGCTGGACACCATTGGTCCATCCATACAGTCTGGATTGTTGATCACACGAGTGGCAATGGCTCACACAAGCAGTCCTAAAATCTGGGTTAGACAGACTGCACTAAAACAATTATCAGGCGTGCGACCGGAGGTTTAGCAATAGCACCAAATGCCAACAACAACGGAGCCAAGGTCTGTGTAAACACCGGACTGATTTAGTTTTTATCGATTGTAATAAGGGAGCATCAGGTAGCGGACCATTGTACGGGCGTTGTATACGAAATCTGTTAGCTGCTTTCTAAAGGGCGCCATTCTTAGTGGGAAATTCATAAGGATTCTGTCAGTTTCCCATCAAGGTTTCCGGTGAACTAAACATCATAGAAAGTATAAAGCTGGAAAGCCACACCGAAATCTCGGCCGTGTACTTCTACTGCCGCAAACGGACCCCATTCGTCGTTGTGCATAGGAAGGATCAACGTATGAAGTAATCACCCTGTCTGACTAGGGAACCCAATCTCCAAAGACTCACCCAGCCGTTTACCATTGATTTGTTGTCATAATATAAATTTCAGCCACAAAACCTTTCCAGTAGTGTTTCGCGACAATTCACATTGCACCGTTAACCATATAGGGTGTAAACCAAGCCAATGCTGCATTCAATTCAGAGGTTTATAGCTGCACCCACATCAACAGATGGTTAGGTCCAGGAATGTACAAGGTAGCTGCACTGAACCAGTTTCATCAACATACAATGGACGCGCAACCAGAAATTAGACTATGGAGTGCATCGTACCACACATTATTCAACAGAAAAGTAAGACATGATGTGAAGATTACGCACCCGTTGGAAGCGCAGAAAGCGATCCTTGTCCGGCGTTACTTTTTATTTTGGAGAAACGGATTCCCTTACTACCTGAGAATTTACGTAACTCGCTTTTGTTTTTTTTTGTGCCTGTGATTATTCATCTATTTATTTCAGCAAATCTAAGCTTATATTTATCCGTTCGAGCAACCTTCTGTGTGAAAATTGTTAAATGACGTTCCAAATGTCCCGCTTATGATAGGGGCGCGTTTCCAAGTGATGGAGACTCGTGGAAAACCGCTTGTTCCTTTACAACTGCGAAAAATCAACTGCAAGATTGAAATATGTGATTTCATCAAAACGACATACTTTCTTTGATGAAAACGCAGCAGTATGCAGTGGAAAACGTTTGTTGGGTTGTAGTGTTAGTTATCTGATCAATATTAAGGGCTCGATAGCAGAAAAGTGTTGTTGGCTTCGGCTCTTCTGCTCTACCAGTTTGATCTGAATGTCGGTTAATTATGAAAAAGTTTCTGGCGGAAACCTATTGTATACTACATTCCAGTTTTAATGTGTGATAAAACCGTGGAGATCGGGGGTTGGTATGCCGTGAGGTTCACTTCCTCAACATCCAGCTTTTATCTAATGTTTACATCACCTCAGTTTTATGGAGAGAAATTTTATCAGCTGGTTAAAAAATTAGGGGTCTATATCAACATAATCTTAGTGTCAGACGTAAGTCAAGGGGATACCACGGACTCTTTAGCTGAGTTCGCCAAAAGTTGCGCCCCCAAAACCCTTGGATACTCCCAAGAAAGTGTGCTCTATTTACCTTGTAAATTGCATCTCAGTTGCTAACCTGGGTGTTCGTAGACCAACCGTGGCTAAATTTTGCTCCGGTACAAATGTTTGCATTCTGAACTTTTCAATTCAATCAATTTATCAGTCATAAACTGTGCATCATAGCCACAATGGTTCCAGCTGCTATTGTTCCGATCATCGATGTTCCCACCAGACCCGAACAATGTTTCAGAGACACCGATAGTCAAACCGAAACCTTTCTTACATCCTCTGCGCGTAGGCGCCACGTCCCTGATCCATAAAGCAGTATGGAACGCATCACCGCAGTGTAAACTCTTCCCTTGACATAAAAACTGACATTTCGGTGACATATGTATCGGAGGTTGGCAAGAGCCGCCCTGGCTTTCCCGATTCGCCAGCCACTCAATCGGAAACTACACAGCTGCCCAATCAAACAAATTTATCTACCCCAACGATCGGCTCGTCTGCGGGCGTGAGATTTGGGTTTGATCCCATCCAATTTTGTGCAGCACTGCACTTTGCAGGCTTGAAGCATATACCAAACCGTGCTGTAGATTTATTAGGTTATTTAAAATTCTGAACTTGTTTTGACTCAAGGTGAAATGTCAGGGAAACGACCGTTTATCTCTCCCTATAAATGCACGGATTACACCGGGTATACTTCTGACGCGATGTTTGATGGTAGAAATGAGGATACATGGTCATCTTTTTAAGTCCTGTGAAGGCGTGACAGAAAAAAGCTTCGTTTAGGATGGTGAGTTTCTCAGGTTATCGGCATTCGTTTTAGGAACCAAAACTTTTTTACCCCTGTGTCGTTTTTTCCTTATGGATACTAATTTCCTCCTTTCTCTCTTAGTTTCCTGGTTTCCTGCTTACTTTTTTGGTGAATCTTTGTCGGCAGCTGGTATGGGGTACGTCATCTTCAGCCTGTTTACCTAATGCACCTGCGTAAGCAACGATCGGCGTTTCAGTCATCCTAATCACGCATCTGTAATATGCATCCGCGTTCATGTGGTACGGTGACCTACGGCACTATCGATCCAGTTTACTGTCAGATCAAAGTATCGCACATCATTTAATCACCAACCGAGTTAGCCCTAAATCGAATAGTCTCCCTCTGTGACGATATTTTGTCAGAATACGAAATTTGTGATCCGCAGTGCTTAAAACAGCCGATGGGTCACGTTCACCATCGCCCACAGCGATGACTTTGTCAAGTTCTCAAGCCGAATGTGTTAGTTCTGGATAGCAGTCACTTTAGCACACTCAGTCTCACATGTCTTCTGTCGGCCGACTACTTCGTAAATTCAACCACCAGCTAATTCAATTGGATTCGGACTGCGTACTCATAGACAATGTTGGTGTGGCCCTTGTTAGTTCTGGATAGCAGTCACTTTAGCAGACTCAGTCTCATATGTCTTCTGTCGCCGACTACTTCGTAAATTCAACCAGCAGCTAATGCAGTTGGATTCGGACTAGGACCCTCTGCTTCTTGAATGCGCATTGATGACGAGCAGTTGATGAGTGCTGGATTGAGATGACTCCACTCAATGCAGTCTCGTGCAATGTGGAGATAGGGGAGACAAGTTACGAGATGGTTATTGCGCATAACCTGGGCGTCCGTATAGTGAGCCAAAGGCTATTGACAAGCGCTAGTGATTTAAGTGTCCTACTTCCTTTAGGAGGCATGTTCCGCAGTTGAGCGGCTTTTTTTTATCCATATCGGTCTTCATGTGTTCCAGTAGGAAGAAGTTTGGGGAATTGGAGGATGATCCTTATGTGTGTTCTGAAGGATTGTATAGTGTCGATACAGTGCTTCAGTTTGCTCTTGATCAGTGTGGTTATTCCGGTGCACACGCAGCCTCTGTCAATTCCGACTTTTGTATTTAGTGCACCAAGCAAACCCATACCTCTATTTTCCCAGTAATATTAGTTGACTCTATAACACTTATCTCACTGAAACCGCCAGCATATTTCGTTGTGACACTTTTCTGTGTAGCGATGTCCTAGTGTACTTGTCATGTGCCTGCAAAGAGATGTAACCCAGAGACTTCAGTCTGTGCGTTTCAGTTACATTCGAACTCCCGGAAACAAATTGGAAAACTTTATTTTCATAAATGGACCAGCTATTTATCGTTTACTAAGCCGAACCGTACGGTACCGTGTTTCCTACGGCATCTCATTGTCAAGAACACGGTGGGTTATGTCGTGAGAATATATACCGATGAAATACGGACCAGCACACTTCCATGCCCAATTTTTACCCATGGCCAGTCAAGATCAAACAGATCATGACTTTGTGATAGTACTCTTGTCAGTGTCGACAAGTATCGACTTAATCCAACCCTGATTTGTTCACGCATGTTTTTTTATAATTCCACAGCGCTGGTAAAATCACGCGTCTGGGTGTTGGAAAGAACATGTTTTCAAACCATCATGATGAAAACCGGGTTGGAGCGGATAGAAGAACGGAAAGCATTCCTCAGAAGGTAGGTCTTGACGCACGCAATATAGTTTCCTTGTTTCAGCTCGTCGTCTGTACGCCCGCATTGTTCTAAATGCGTGTCGTACCGTTGTGTTCCGGAGCTGCTTGACTTTTTATTGGTTGAATGTTTGTCAGAAATTCAGTCCTGTCCAGGTGATTTCGAGACAATCATGCTGTGCTGTAAACAGACCGTTAAATATACCAAGTAAACCACACCCTCACCCATCGCATTGTGTGCGTTTTTTGTGCACCACTACATGCATATGTACACGTCAGCAACGCTAGTTCGGCACTTGTTGAGAACTATTCATTACTGGGTTTACAAACTGTAATCTCCAGGTTAGAATTTGGCGAAAATTCTCAAGTAATATTTAGTAATCTTAATTTCTTTTTACAAGAAACACCATTCGGGAGCTCCTAAACCATTTTACGACTTTGAGGTGCTTTGCTTTCGAAGTTTATTCCAAAAAATCAAGCAAAAATCTATATAACGGATGTGGAAGTGTTCCAGCCGTTTTGAGACCACAGATCACTTCTTCGAACACGCAGGACCAATAAATGAATGCGTTGCCAATAATCCTTGGAAAATATCAAGTTACGCGTCATTACAAACCGTTATTTGAGCTTCCAATCTAGACTTCGGGACATGGGGCTTTACTTCATCATGTCGAATTATTTGAAAACGATTGTGACCGCTTGCGTCCTCTGTCCTGCTTTGTTATGAAAAACCGTCCGGATCTGTTCGTCTAAGGCATGCAGTTGGTGGACGTACCACGGGCGGAATGACCTTACTGTCACCGGTTGACTTGATCTCCATTCAGCTGCAAAGTGCTAACCTACCACCACTTAGCGTGTTTGAACTTGTTTTGGACGGACAGACCTCAGCCTTTTTGTGATGAAGACGATGAGGTCGGGGTCGCAGATGAAACTGTCGGTCACCTGTGTGGCGGGCGCTTGGTTGACAGGTCTGATTGCTTTATTATACTGTGAAGGTGAAGAAGTACATCGTAAGCGAGAGATTCGGTTGAAAACCTAATTTCTATGCGGATGGATGCATGCTTCCTCTCTGCTTATCGGGAGGTTTTGCTAACATGTGGGAAATATAATCATTTTGAGTGTTTCGTCTTGGGACAAAGGAGCCCTGCGCACGTACCACCAAGTCTGGTTCGGTTAATCAAATTGTCCTCGCGGGAATTCCGACAAAGACTGACATCAAAACAGTCCTGCTTGCATCGTCTCAACCACAGTGTAACTGAAATGGAGGACGACAGCGTCATGTCGCATTAAGGCGAGCATAGCTCTCCAATCAGCCACAATCAGAACTGTGGTTCTTCTTATACGAATCTAGCTCAATTAAGGTGAAAGATTGCCTATTCGGAGAACACGTCGAGACCTGATAGTCCCACAAACCGGTCGAATCCGGTGGTTGACTGCCTGTCTCCGGCTTTTCATAAATCTGATGTGTAGCACCTGTAGTGAAAGGAAAACACGTTGATTTCTTTAATCTCAGCTCACATGAACACAGGGGTGCTGCACTTTCTTTGGAAATTCTTTGGGACCTCTTTTGGATCAACCTCTAACAATGATTGAGTATGCAGCTGAGCTGTGTGCATACAGAAGTACGGTTTCAACGAATGGTGTGCAACTCACTTCACATCACTCATTTGAGTAGTCTCCATCGTCGCGAAATTATTCTAGTGCGTCCACACCAAACGTGGGGAGCACAGACACGAGTTTTGTTCTTATCATTAGCAGTGGCCTTGTGAGGTTTGAATTTCGGTTGTGTGACGCGCGAGACGCAGTGTTAGCACTGCTCCATCAGCGCACTCTGGATGCATCTGGATTATCAATTCTAGACAGGCGAGTGTATTCACGCTTGAGCGGTGCGATTAGTTTGCCCGATCCTTCGAACAACGAACCCGTACAGCTGGGAAGTTGCCAACGACGCCAAATCCCATCCCGGTATCCAACACATTCTTATCAGGTTAAACAAGACTTGTGGATTTTCGACCACTTGATACTTTGATGAAGAAAGTTTGCCCGATTTGATTATGTTTATTTCAGCTGCTATGAATTTTTCTTCGATAAGTTTAAGCGCGCTTTTCTATTAATAGATAAATGGAAGCAATGAAGGAACGCAAAATCAGAGATCGGACCTAAGCGGATGACCAGGTCTACCAGTTTTACTGAACAGATCGCTTTTTCATCTACATGTTTCTGAGCATCATTCTCAGGGCGCTCGTTAGTTTGCGAACTACCATTGGCCGACATAATTCCAAATGATACAGTCAAGTTGAACTGGTGACCCGTTTCGAGGAGCCGTGAAACGAAAGCTTCATTTAGCAACATTAGATTTCCGTCTCAGTTAGTGTTTCAGTCCATGCATGTACGCGATGGAGGTTTTTTAGTGTTGACCCTTAATTTTATACTGTGACAAACAGATGTTATGCTGGAAGGCTGCGAGTCACCAAGTATTTCATGTTCTTTGGGAACTGCCAACGGTCCACACCTCATGAGTCTTCCGGATTACTCGAAACCGGAATCTTTTCGATGAGAGTGGCACCCTGCACCTGAGCCACCTGGTGACTGGTGACCATAGGTTCATCATGCAAGTCCAAAACCGATGACAAAGATTTCCATCCTACTCATTTGGATATAAGTAATATGCTCCCAAAGGAGAATAGTGTGCGCGAGCAGTCTGGCACCAGTTCTCTGCATTTCACAATGAACCCAATGTAATATGTTTACCTCTGGTCAGGTATGCAGAGAGTTCGAATCCCTTCAATATTCACGGAAGGCGCAATATCAGTATCAGTTCAGTATTACAAAAAGGTTCTAAGGTCTAATGCCTTCCCCACTTCAGGTTACACGTTACAAATGATTCGTTGCGCTCAGCCAAATTACTCAATAAAATTACTCAATTACACCTGTTTTCAGCAGTCATATTGATGAGGTAAACGCACTGAGAAGATAGTGCTGCCTATTCCCTGACGGAAATTACCTCTCCCGTCGTGTTGACTTTAGTTGGACTACCTTGAATGTCATTGCGCGATAAAAATAAGTCTTATCCGATATTTATTCAATAGTTATCAGTTAGACCGCTTGCTAGATCTCGCGAAACACTGAGGACTGTCAAGTAGGATGCTTTTTTGCCCACACACTTTCAGCTATTGGATGACAGGAATGTGTTAGATCATCCCTTAGATCGCGCTAGTGTGTGTTCGAGGAATATCTACTCCTAGTGTGCGATAAATAAGGCCAGCCGACCAGGATCTTCAAAAAGTTGCCATAAAGTGATTGACATATGCGTGAGTTTTTATCTAATTATGTGTGACTGAGGAGACATTTATCAACGCACCTCATATCTGTCAGTCACATTTGGAATAGAATTCAAGAGAAATCAACACACACCAGTGTTTTCAGTGTCCAATCCGGCAAACGAACTGCTGATGTTCTGTCACAGAAGCATCCACCATAGGTGTTCATTTGCTGTCTTTCTTGTGTGGGCGGGTAGTTTGTAGTTAACTCGGCTTTTTAAAATGAAGTCGCAGTTGAATGTCGAGAGTCGATCATAATCTTAATTCCGATAAGAACCCAAGCTCGGTAACTACCAGGTCTTCTTCGAAGATAACCAATCAAGCGAAACTTTCTGACTGTTTGTTAGCAGTCATATGATGGTCTGACATATTCAACAGCTAGTTGGACCAAGAGTACACCGGTGACTTGTGCCGTTTTTTAAATACTTCTTTTTAAAATCTGAGCATAAATAAGCAACTCACAACTGTCTTTTGGGCATCGACGTTGACTACATTTAGAATTATTTTGTATCCGTTTTGATTAAATCACCATTTTTTGCTGATGGTTTATCTCTCGTGCATGATGACCTCGGAGTTCTTTGATGAATCTGACTTTCGCACGGCCCCTGATGCCTTCTTAACCGTTTGTGACCAAATCTGAACTGTTGCTATTTAGTGTAGTACGGACTCAGAGTGCGTAGCCAGTGGCAGACAGTAACCATAAAGTCGCATTCAGTGTATTATGGACAATCGCTCGTCTTACAAAAGGTCATGCACTTGTATCGTCTCAACTCATATCACCCCCTTTTCCTAGTCCCCGTGAATAGATGCCATTTTCGCTTGCTGAGTATGGTGTTTCTGTTGCACAGGAAATAGCACAATCTGGATACGAGGTCACCCTTATCACGACTGACCCCCATATTCATAATCGAAACTCCGTGAAAAACTGGTATAGATGATAGTCAAACCGAATACCTGGTCGCAATGTGCCTGTTTACCCTCGTGTCGTGCCTCACAGAACATCCGTCCTTTGTGTGTGGACTACCGAAATCGTAGGTATGTGGAATCAGAAGAAATTCCAAGTCACCATGTGCGTGTGTATCTGACAATCTGTGATAAAATCGTCTATCAGCATCGCCAGATCTCGTTTTTAAGGTCATATTACTATTACTATCGACGTACTCCTCCATTCTCAGCGTGCCACTCCTCAAAGATGTACCTTCGGAACGTATTCTTCGAATCGCCGATGCTCTTGAAGCACAATATCACGCTCCCGGTGACTGCATCATACGACAAGGGGAACTAGCCGACAGCTTCTTCATCATCCAGTCAGGAACGGTTAGTTTTCTTCTCCTACTTTCTCCCTACACCAAGAACGATTCCCAGTACTATATAGGTTGATTAGTTGCTTGCGAAATTCGTAAGGATTTTTCTCCTGTTAGTTGTGACAGTCGGGTAGACAGTGTGTTTTTCCGATTTTCTTATCAGAGGTATAGAATGTAGCTTACTGAGACCCCTTTAAGTTTGAGTAGTACGTTCCTACTTCCGTGGGCTTCGCTGAGTGACATCGGCTTACATAAGCTCACGCGCAGCATCACACTCGGCTCCACACAAACTGTCGTGGGTTCCCTTGTAAGCACACGTAGCCAGTAGTTTGGTCCTCATTGAACAGCAAATCCAACTCGGCCCGCAAGTCTTTGCACAGATACTAACCCAAGAGAATAAGACCGGCACGCAAAACTGCAAAGACCTGTCGCAAACCGTCAATCGGGCCTAAACTTGATAGTATAATAATGGACACCGGAACTAATTACCGATCTATCATCGAGGTACCGGCGTTGTCCTTCAGTTCTTTTAGGTTTCGGCGTACTACCGCACTTCTATCCAGTATAACACAATGCAAGTATTGCCTGGGGCCGCCCTTCAACACACCGTTAAGGTGATAATGGATAACCTGCAAGTATTCAATTAACCATGCGGCCAGTGATGTTGTTGTCATCCTTAGGATAACAATGTCGATCGGGTGTTCACTGGAAAATGGAACAAACTTATCTGGGTTCTAAAAGATAAAGTTTACCAGGTGAACCGGTTAGAACGCTGGTGGCCCACAAGGCTGATCCTGCTAAGGCACTTACGTCCGTATGTTAACGTGTCTGAGACATCATTGGAAAAATTCAGCCCCTTCTGAGTGGTTTGCCTGTTTTCCAACGTTTTGACGCGTCGCATTTCACAACCTCTCATCCCTGCTTGGAAAGCAGTTCTGTCGATTACCAGGTTCACTCTTGACCTAAAAATGAGGTTACAAGTTTTCCAACTTGTTTGATGGTTGTCCCAATAACGACATTTCGGTATCCCCGATTTCGAACTCCGTTCTTCGGTTTACCGTAGACAAGTTATTTTGGAATGCGAGTTTCGGCCATTCGTTCTAAGTGACGGAGCTGGTTTTGCATTCGGCTCCATGAGCACTCGCTCATCGAGGGACTTCTGTGTTAGAGTTCCAGTCATTCCATTTGACTTGAAGGATTTTGCGCAAACAGTACAAGTGATGTCGGCCAACATCCCGAACATGTCGTCCGTGTAGCATCCAGGTCTGTGCCATTTAGCAGTGAAGACAGCACAACATTCCATGCACAAGTGATGATTACTCTCAGGCGTTTCTCAAGGCAACCAAATCTCATAGGGGCTTTTGCTATTGGTGTTCTTATCTCATTATGAAGTATCATATCTGTGGACAGTTTGCTGCCAAGATAGCAGGCGTCGATGGGGCACGTTATCTCACATACATTTAGCACAACACATGGTGTCTTGTGCTGATAAAAGACAAACATTTTAGGCGTCACTGAACCGAACCTCTTAATTAGCGTGTGTGGTGTGAGTGCAAGTTTAGTGGCATAGACAACTTTCGTTCACAAACTTAACCTTCGTTTTCATTCATCCGTCCACAATTCTCGCACTACCAAGTCGATTTCTATTAAACAAACTGCATTAGCCCGATAGTTCGATTGATGTACGCCTCGTTTTGTCCGGATCATCACCCTTTCTCGACCCTTTTCCCTAACAGGTGAATGTGACCATCACAGTCCCAGGTTCAAACGAGTTCGGTGAATCAACAGAGAATAACATTCGACAGATGTCCAAGGGCGAGTATTTTGGCGAGAAAGCCCTACTGGGCGAGGGACGACGTACTGCCAATGTGTATGCGTTAGGACCGAATGGCGTTGAAGTATTATGTCTCTATCGAAAGTGAGTAAATACTTTTCACTGACGCCCATTTCCATTAGTGAAGAACTCGATGATTTTGTGCTCTTCCAAGTGCCAAAACGCAGAGTAAATGTGGCTAGTTTGCTTAATCTGGATTTTGAAATTTAACCAAGAAACAATTACCAAAATCAGAATGTCCAAATAGCAAAACGAAGCATGTACAGCAATACCCTAAAGAGTGGACACTAAGAGATGTCACGGAGAGTTCTCTCTTGGGGCATCTACGTAGACCAGCTGTGGCATCGTTCCCATGACTGCCTCACACTCCATACATCCCTTCCCCTGGTTTTCTCACAGACAGGTGGATGACAGACTAGAATCATATAGAATCTTCTTCTATCGTTGTTCTAATCTGCGTCATCAAGTGGATGGAGTTTTCAGTGGGTTCGTATCAGCATTCTTTACTCATATTGGAGATCACCAGCACGATTCACGATAGTGAATCGTCGATTATTCATTGTAAGAATGATTAAATGGGAATCCTGGTTGTGTCTAGTGAGTTTCAAGTGTCTATGGGACCATCTGAATGGGAGATCCTGAGCGATGGGTCAGCCCATCTCATCAAGACGATCAGTGTGTAGAAGTCTGACAAACTGTCCGCCCCCCCCCCCCGGGTTAAGGGTGACGACTTATCCCTTGAACGTCAGACTACTTCTTGTGGCCAGGCTTTCGAACCCAAAGCTTTGGGTGGGGGCTATAACGTCCCCCTGTCAAATATTTGACGGTCCGGTATTGCATCCCACATACTCTCACAGCGACTCAGTTGCTTGGACCATACGAACGCAGCACATACTACATTAGTGTTTTGCAAACACCAACCGAAAAGCGTACCATTTCCCCTGTCTTCAGGCTTAAAAAACAACAGTCAAACGCATCATTTGGCGCAACAAGACAAGCAATCATGACAGATAGTGTGTTCCTGTTTCCCCACATGACTTTGAAATCGAAGAGAATTCCTCACAGATTTGAGTCTAACCTTCCTAGCTAACACATACGTTGGCGTCGTATATGTTCCATGCTCATCTTGGGAATATCCCACGGTGAGCTTGGAGCGACAAAAATAAGAAAAGAGGCTAGACTTAGTGCTCGAAACGAATGCCACATGTGAACCCAGCATCAACATGTCGACTGATATTTCTAATTTTTTCAATATCACGTTTTTGTTCGATAAATCAAAAACACGTCAAATAACGAACACGTAACCCACGATAAGGTGAGCGTTGTAAATGAAGTTTATAGGTGCACATTCGGCTTTTATGTGAACACTATTCCAAAATAATTGGTGTAATTGGTCCGCTCACTTGGTTTTCTGCATTTTGCGACATGTTGATACACTTTCCCATGGATTTCCCATTTCGATTATGTCTTCCGCAGAGACTTTTTGGAACTGATTGGTGACATCAAGGAATTGATGAACAAACCGTACATGGAAGATGAACTGAGTGCCTGCAAGTAAGTACACACATTTTAGCACCTTGTCGTTTCCGTGAACCTGCCAATCCGGTTACTGTTTCGTTTTTTCCGCTCTACTGTTTCTTGCACAGTAAATCAGAGTTCCTTCCACAATGTTCAATGCTACCACGCGATCCCGTCACAAATGCAATCTTGCCAACTGTCGCTGGGCAAACTGAGAAGGCCGTCCCGTCATCGACCCCGTTCAACATCTCTTCACAAGCTTTACGTCTTTTCCCGCTGGGTCTTGATTCTGTTCTTAAGCCCAGGCCCATGCTAACAAATATCCGGTTAGCTGATCTAGAGCGTGTTTGCGTCTTGGGCGTTGGCGGTTTCGGACGCGTCGATCTGGTAAGTGTTGTCACATTACTGTGTTGTTCTATCTTTATCCAATTGACTGGTTTTGGCGTGACATAGTGGTACCCTGTGGCCTGCACCGATGGATGGTGTGTAGCCCTGACAGTTGTGATTGTAGTTACAAGCTTCATCTCCCTGAGTCTTGATACTGGCATGCCGTGAAGTTCGTAATACAAGACGGGCGCACGAACGAGGGTTGATGGATTCTCCTTGCATGCAGTTAATGGCTATTTGAATCGCACCCAAATTCTGATGCTCGACCTGAGGAATAGATTTTTAATTATGTTTGCTGTTGCATCTGCGTGGATTTTACAAGATTCGTGAGCCCAGCCTATAGTGAGTCTCCACTCTTCAATTTCGGCCTCTTAAAGGTAGACTGTCATGTCGATAGGTAACCTTTGGGTGATGCGTCATGTTGTGTTTACCTGGAGCTGAGTCATAGCCTCTCCAGGATTCGGCCCCCTATGATGCCGCTACTCTATTAGAGCCTCTGTTCAGCGTTTACTTTAGCGAGCTTGAGGCACATACCTTAACCGCTTGTTATGGTTCTTGGATTGACTGTGCTTCCGCCCTGATGTCTGGGGTACAATCAGGTCCTGTCTCCTGCATTTCAGCAAAAGATCTTTACAGAGAATCATTGAGCGAAGCGAACGCATTTGATTCTGTTGAACCACCTTCTGTGTGTGAATGTTCGCTTTTGAGTTTGGCATGGGCGGGTTAGTCTGTAACCTATGCTGTGTGAAGGCCTATCGTTGCAATGCAACGCAAGGTGTCAGATAAATCTAGAAATGCATACTAACCTACTGTTATCCGAAGTTAACCAAGTCCTGGCTTACTGTAACTCACTAAATGGATTGCCTGAATTTGGTTTTCGGGTGATAGTGATTCCCAGCCAACCTTAAGTAGAGACCCTCATATTTGACCATTGGAAAACAGCTGTGCTGTGAAGCCTACATTAGAGTTACGAGTGTCTTTCTCTAACCGGCGCCTGCGTAATAATTGTCATCTGTCCCCTTCTGAGCGAACCCTGTGGGATTCATGTACTAAGGTTCCTTCTGGTTTGATAGTCATTTGTTTTCGTAGTTTTGGATCTCAATCTCTGGTCCTATATCTTGCCATTAACATGTGATTTCAGCTGTTTCAAACGGTTCCACACTCCGTCGGGCACCAACCGCTTGCGTTGATAGCCATCATGCTTTGAGATTCGTGGACACTTTTGGGGTAAAATAAGAAGATGAAAATAGATGACAGTGGTGTGTTTTATGGAACAATTTAGCTGACGATTTGATCAATGTTCCGTTGGACGCAACGTATGTTCAGTCAGTCTTATCGATCTTTAAAACACTACAGAAAACTGCGTGTGCTCCTGAAGGGTCTTCAACCAAGAGTGAACCAAAACCGAAAGGATGTCACCGTGAGTGTTTGGTCTAATCGGGAAGGAGCTAGTTAGCTATGGAGGAAAACTCACTCGCAAATCGTTTAAAACATAATCCATGGTATACTTATCTATCATACTGGTTTAAAAAACGGATTGTCGTTGAACCACTGTAGATCAACAACGGTTGACACGTTACAAACGTTCCCAAGAGTCATTCGATGTCATCCTTTCGTTGATCTCAGGTTTTGACGTAGTTCACGCGCTCACAGCGATAAGCGAATTCGGATGATGTTCTGGCCCAATGATGGTTCCTGTTCAGCGGCGTGTTCAGATGCATTTCGGTTCACCAATTTCGACAACCACCCCTTTTATAGCTTGCAGGTGGACTACTGATAGGGTCATATTATATTACACGTAATATTGCAATGCAGTATTATAGAATAATACAGAACTGATAAACAAGTTGATTCTTATGGTCGAAATAGCAATGAAACGCTTCGCATCTTCTCTATGCTGTCAGCTTGATATGCCTCAACTTTCGGAAGGGATGCACATCTCTTGATTGTTTTGTTGTTTTATCGTTCAAGCTATTGATTACTCTAAGGTCAAGGAATGTGAAAAAGATTAATCAAGCTGATAGCGGTATTTCCGACATATCACAACTAAAAAAATGTTACCTCAAAATGTAGTCCTTAAACTTGAGTGCTTCAAAAGCAGCTAGAGCATTCAACATTGACAACTGCAGCCGTCTAAACAGTGATGTCTCAGTCTGAAATCGTGTGAGCAGGGTGAGTGTGTCAGTTTTTCTTTCAACCATTTTTATTAACACACTATCTAGGTTTGAGAAGTTTCCATTTGATGCAAAAAAAGGTGGGCAGCTCAGGTAATGTAGCTGATGGCTGGCATCTTTGTTGAGATTTCCAAATTCGTTTAACGCCTACACAAAAACGATACACCGATGACATCATACCGGTTGTTGCCGAGACGTTTGCAACTCAGTTGCCACTTTCGTTGAACAAGTTAACCGTCAGGTTGGCGGCGTACTGCTAATGGTCGGGAAACTCACCAGTACCTTGGGTCGTTGATGTTCATTACTCGTAACTGCGTTGGTCTCCTTGAACTCATGGAACACGTACATTTCTGTGGTTTCTTCGACCTCATTTGTAAAGCTCCATTTCCGAAATTTTCGACTTGAACTGGTCTTAGCGAAACACGCTCATTTGCAAACAAATTTGGTTTAGCGACAGACTCACTTGGAACCGAGCTGAATCTCTCCTTTGTGATGTAAGCCAGCACTTTTCCAAACTAACGCCATCTATATTTCGGCGTTTTCGCGACTGATTTGCTGAACTGCCATGGCGCCGTTGTAGGATTTTTTTTACTACACTGCAAACTGCTGCCTTGTAGTAGGCAGAATGAAATCGGAACATCAATGTCTGTAGCTCAGCTTGGCGTACCATCCTGTCCCCGGAAATCACTATAAAGTTACCTTTGATGGTCGAATTGGCGAAACTATTCCAGTCAATGAAATCATTCTGCGACCTCCATCCTTTTTCCTAATGAGAAACAGTAATGTAATGATACGCATTCTGAATGGAGCGGAAACGTGAGACGAATCAGATAACTTGTTTGGAAAGGCCATTTAAGGGGAATTTTACCCAGTGGCATGACCTATTTTTTCCCACAGTGCTCCAGATGTTGAACGGCACAGCAGGCGCTACCCCAGAAGAAAAGGGATTCATCTGCCAGCTTTCATTTCTCACAGTCTTCCCTGCATGTGATACTGGTGGAGATGGGCAAACGTAACTTTCCTACCAATGCATTCATTATTCCCCACATCGAGAGACGACTGCACATCACGTTGCGGATACCTTAATATGTAGGCCTTCAAAACTCAGAAGGACGCCTTTGCAGAACGATGATGAAAAGCAGACGTGTTTCCGCTTACGAAAGTGAGAAGATGCAGAGGCATATTAGTCCTTGTCTGTAAACTGCGCGGTTCAACGAACTACCCAACAGTACGATTGTGAGACAACGTGGGTCTGTCTGAAGCATGATCAGTTTCCACTCGACAATCTCTTTTCCGATTTTATTCAAAGCACCACATCGGCCCAGTTAACTATAAATTTACTGGTCGGAATAAGTGGAGGTATTAGGCTAGTGAAATCCGCCACTGAGTTACGCAAATTCGATTTGTCAGGGGGTTTTCTGCAACTCCTCGGATTTGGTTTGATATTTCTTGTCGTGTTCCACCGTATATCTTTGATTCTCACGAGAATTTCAACGACATTCTCATGGAGTTTCACGAATGGCCGCTGATGTGAGCAGTTCTCTGTTGATGGGTCTTACTATTGTTTGGTGCTTACCGTGAATAAACGTAAAGCATGCATGTATATTTCAAAATAGGCACACGAAGCACTGCGACGTTTCCCGACAAATCGTTAGTTTTCGCCAAAGAACATCATACCGGGTTTCAAATGGTGGATGCAAATGTTCATGAGGGATTTATCTGTCGTAACTTTGCTCAGTTTGTCCCATAAATCATGCTTCTGGCAACAGGCAACATCAGCGATGCGGGACACGTCACTTCCAAACGATCATTTTGTGGATTCGAGCGTCATGTGCACACACTCTGTGACGTCACCAACGCGAATCTAAACTTTGTTCCCATATTTTTAAAGTTTACTTTGCTTGCAGGTGATAAAACAGCATCGTTTGTTTGCTCCCTAACACCGATCATGATTGGTCAATGGAAGACGTTTCGACAACATGATACTAGTGTTAGAAAAATTTCCCATCTACCTGAAAAGAATTTCAAACCAGTTAATCTAATTCGACTCATTCTTCAGAACTAGCTGTTTAGCGAAACAATCTTTCTAAAAACTATGCACAGAATGTCTCTCGTGGAGTCTGATAAATGGAAATAGTATTATCGTACTTTTACTAATAGCACCGTGCGCTGGACAGTTTCAAAACCGTATTTATCCTCCAATACGTGCTACGATTATGGCTTTCGTGGGAACGAGGAAGGTAGCGAACAGAGCTTGTTTTTTGTGATTGTTCCTCTTGGCTAATACATCACAAATTTGTATGGTAGCAGAAAGCACTTGGGAAAGGTTAAGATCGGGGCTACTACAAATCAAAGGAAGGGGGGTGGGTTGGACCAGGGATAGGTCAATGGGTCACGGAATCAGGTAAGTGACGTCAATGTCAGACAAACTTGTGGGACCGGATGTTTCGTAGGCCAGTTCAAGTTCAGAGGTCGCACAAGATTCTTTTGGATGCAAAGTCGCGGATTCAGCAGTCAGATTCCAATCGCCTCTGCGATCGATAGTAGTCTGGATCGTACCAATCGTGATCAGTTCAGAGGTACCCGGTATATGATGTTGAAGGCCTGCTCCTTGTCCATGAAATGAGTGGTTTCGGCCAAACGTGATGCAATCGCGCTCGAGCCTGGTTTCTTCCCACTACCACTCAGAGATACGGAACTATGTTCTCGCATTCTGTCCGACAAATTTGGTTTTGTATGCAGATAGCTTACATAGTTTTTTTTCAATTATGGGCTAATAGGAAATATATTCTGAGGACTAGTCTGACTTTAGTTCACTCTATGTCTTATTTTCTCGTACTTGAGGTCGCCCAACAGGTGAAAGTTGTCATTTGCTGTCCGACACTGAAGATGCATTTATTCTCTGCGTAGTTAGTTACATTGGTGATGACAATCGATGACAATCCGGTGAAACATATCTCTGAGATCTTGGCGTTAAGCTAACTGTTTTGTGTGCTTTCTCTGTGCGCATGGCTCACACAGACACATGACAAATCGCGGAGGACAACTATTTCAATCAACGTTGTTCTTTCGGGTAACAGTTGAATCACCCAAACAAATGTGTCTGTTACGAAACAATTCGAACCATAGTCGTCTGATACTCCTGTTCCTTTTCCATTTATTCCAGGTAACCCTGTCGTACGATCGAGCACAAGCATTTGCGATGAAGCGGATGCAGAAGCAGCATATCGTACAGACGCGCCAGCAAGAACACGTGCATTTAGAAAAGGCAATTCTCTCAGCAGTCGATTCCCCTTTTATTTGCCGGTAAGCAGATACATACAGTTGTGTAAGAGTTGTTCTCACGTGATGCCGTACATCATCCAAGTCCAGATGGGGCGCCATGTACGGTACAAATCCAACATACCACACGTGTCAGGTGAACCGCGAACACTATTTACTGCAAATGGACATTAATAAGACAACTTGGGTTCACTGTTTCATTCTTGCGCGAGAGATCGCTACACTGTTCGCCCGCTGGTTATTGGGAGACAGCGTTTCGCTGGCTGTTTGTTATTCCCTCGTATGGAACAACTTGTATTGCGTTAATATGCAGGGTAAAGGCTTGGCCAAAGACGTTACAGCCAATAAAAAATGATCTTGTCGTTTTGCTTCGACGGATCATCGGTACAGAGTGGCACTTTTTATAGATGTTACGAGATGTTTGGACATCATTGATTGGTGCGCATGACAATTGCGCATCAATTGCATTGATGCTTAGTGCTCCAATTTTCTGTTCACGGGAAGAATAGGAAGGTTACATTTTTGCCCACACTATGTTGCCATTGTATCAGTACGTACTAATGTCCACGAAGAAGATTTTGTCAAGAATTTTCGAACCTAAAACCTGTGATACTCATGATTGGTGGATATTACGTGGAACTGTTTTGATAAATGCACCTAATCCTACACGAAGTCATGCGGAAAGAGTTTACCACTTTTCACTTAAAAAAATGTGCGCCACTTACCATAGATCACGTAGAAACCTGGCGAACTTTGCACACTGATCACGAAACTCGTTTGGGAGGACAAAGGTTACTGTGTCATTCGTCGAAAAATCCATCAAATTTGCTCATGAAAGCTGCTTGTACGCTCCTGCGAGGGTCCAAATATTTATCTGACCAGTTACTCCATTCAAATTATTCACTGAAAGGCCTTCTGCTGCACCATCACGTGAGGCGATTCGGTATTTTGAGCTGTCGAACATAGCAAGATGTGTCATCGTATCATTCCGTGTATCGTTCCAACTCACGTCGTGTTGCAAAAACTTCGTCTTTTAGAGTCTTGTCGGTGTCAGGCACTGAACCGAAACAATGTAAACAAAGTTGTGACAGTTTTTTCGCTGAAACATTTCGTAAACAAGAGATTCAGTTGATTCTCCCGTTAATACCAAATTAATTTGCAAACAAATATATTTCGTCTAAAACGCAGCTAAATCCATTGTCGGGCGTGGAAGCCCTAATAACCGATAGTATATAGTGAGATAATGGCCCAGGATCTCAAACATAAACCAGACAAAAGCCTTTAAGCTCGATCAAATCGTTTTAGCAGCAAGGCCTGCCGTTATCACTGGTAATCCTAGCTTGCCATGTAGTATCGCCAGGGGAATCAGTGAATACGGTTTTGACGCTAAGGAAAGCAAATGAACACGTTTTCATTTTAAGCTGTTACTGTTGGGTGTCTTGTTGAGATTGTTAGCTGAGCTGGGCGGAACGACGAGAAAACGCTCAGTTGTGTAGTTTGTAACGAGGCGTATGATGGACATGTTTTAGTACGCATCAGTACCCATAATTTAAGAACACAGGTAGAAGTTCGTAGAACTCGTACAGTGGCAACTTTTGATGCAATTTATTGTGTATGCTGATGTGCCATTTTGGTGAGTAGTTTGAGGCTAATTGGCTGGTCAGTTGACTGAGGTCCTCTGGGGTTAGAACCTGGACAGCTTTCTTCAAGTTGGAAACATTTGATGTTTTTTCAAGATCAATCAAACTGTACAATTTCAAACAGTTGAAAATAGCCGGTGATATTATATTGGGATAACAGCGTAATTTTTCTTATGGAATCTTTGTGGACGAAGCACAATTACTTCGAGAATGTCATTCCTGGTTTGTAATTTTTAGCTGTTCAATCCTAGATTCCACCTTGAGGCGCTTCCAAAAACACATAATTCCATCGGAGCATATTCAAATCCGTTAGTTTGTTACCTGGGCTGGACAATCCAACCACCCGACAAACCAATGGCCATCTATCCAACATTTCTCTCGACAACATTCTTTATATGTTGATGTACTGTTCGCCACTTACGCTGCATTCATCATAGTGAAGCTTCTGGCGCACCATTATTGACGAACGTCTTCTTCATGCTACGAACTTCTTCACGTATTCAACCCTTCTTTCCGGCCTTTGAGATAGTGCTGCATGTTCTCTACTTACTCACTTCGAAACGTGGCACATCTGGTACTCGGAATTCCGACAGTAAATTTCACAAGGACGTCAGGATAGATCGCATCTGGCGCATATAATGGACGGTCATAACTTCGTACCAGGGAAGGCTGAAATAGGGATAGAGCACTCGACTTTACTGTTCGATGAATGGTCAGAAGCGTGGCCGCTGCGCGCCGAGGAAGTCAAAAGACTTTCAGTGTTTGAACACCGACGTCTTCGCCCGAGTCCGGTGGGAACACCGGATCAGCAGTGCTGAACTACGTTGGTGGTATTCGGAAGAAATGATTTGTCCACTATAGATGAACTGATCATATTGAATAAATTGCGCTCGCTTGGCCACGTGCTTCGTATGCTAGTCGACCGACTTCCTTGAAGGGTTTCTTTCGCACAATCACGTGAAGGGTAGAAACGAGCCAGAGGCGGTTAAACAATGACTTGGCAGCGAAATGTGAAAGCCGTTACCAGCAAACTCATCTGCGATGATCATTACCATCTCCCTGGATGGGGACCTTAAGATGGGGCCAAACCAATGGTTAGAGACATTGTCAGACATGGCCCAGTCTCGCCCTCGATGCCGCTCGTGCATCCAAGCTATTGCCTTCAATGCGTATTTCCCTTCCCGATCCATCCACTCAAAAGTCTACTGACTGACTGTAGTTACGTGCTAATTTATCAGCTTCCGCCTCAAATGCGCAGCTACCTAACCGACCTCCCCGAATGATCGGTGAACGAAACTGTGGCAGCTAAAACCACTGTACGACAAGTACGCGGTTATTACAGTTGACAATGATGATGATTTTCGTCACACTATACCCACTGTACAGTGATTAAAAACAGTCTACTGTGTAACCCCAACTTTTGTGTATACTAGTTATCTACCTGTCTGTCTTCTGAGGCACATTGGCTAGCGTGTAGGTCAACGTTTTGCCATGTAGGCACTTACCCAGCCCGTCACATTCAGCTTTCCGTTCTCATGTCTGTCCTGATATTACTGGTTGACACAGAAAAGCTAACGCCTGGTGACATCGAGCCGCTGATAATCAAATATGCTCCATTTTCCGAGATAAGTAGCTGCAGATTATCAATCTGGCTGATAGTTAGATTGAGTCATCATCTAAGGTGTAGCGTAATTTCCACTCGAGTGACCGCTCGATTGTGAGAAACTAACACCTGTTCTGTAAACAAGTCCCCGTAACGTAGGTGGGTAGTTGAAAGAGTAGTGATACGTTAGGAAGAGAATTTTATTCCTCGGCGTTTTGGCCACGACGGTTGGTTTTAATCAGCAAATAAATAATCAAGCAACCATCCCGACCGTTGTCCGATTGTCCGAACTAACCTAGGTATTAGCAGTGTGTTGAGACTGGGGTCTCTGTTTTGTGTTGTCGATGAGCTTGGTGTAGTAGCTCAAATTGTAATGACGGATGGGACATCCGCATGGCGTTCCGAGTCCGTTCAATTAAGCCATCCACAACAACCGTTGCAAATCGAAGACCGTGTGAAGGCTACTCGTCTTTCAGGGTGGGGACCGCGTGATCCCCACTACGCCTGGTTGGAGACACTACAGGCTATGGCTGCCAACCGATGTCAGTGGCGTTCTTGTTATTAGCTTCTATCCTGATTGCCCAAGTGCATGTCTGGAAGTGTAGGCATCTCGGAATGATTGTGGTAAGCTAGTACTAAGTCCCTTCCCCGTCAAATAAATCATGGTTGTACAACAGTGAAGTATCGGTGTTGAACACTGACGTCGATGATGATGATGATGATGATGAAGATGATGTTCATTCATTTAGCTCGATGTTCGATCAGTTAGCTTTTTGCGAAGGCCAAACGTGGTGGTTGAAACATTGGGCAGTCAATTCCTCTCCTACTACCGTGTCATTCAGACACCAGCTGCAGTTATCCTGCACAATTCCCAAACTTTGGATTTCATTCGTACTGAATTCAGTTTTCCTACCCTGAAATCTCCCTGGCTTGGCAGCCGCCTGCTTTAGTTCTGCTGCTACCCTCCGAATGATAGCGGTTAGTCAGCTTGAAACTGGATTCGATTTTTTGTATTTTGATTAGTCACATATGGATGCAAAAGTGTACTCTATAGACAAACTCCAGTGGAAATTGTCTGTAGTTCGGAGCAAAGATGACGTTCATCAGAAATTTAAGTATACCTTACCATAGGTATATTTACGACAACGTTGATTCGGCATGCACACCTTCAAACTCATTAGCGTCTTCTGATTAGGGTTCTGGGCTTTAGAAGTCTGTAATATTGGTACCGCTTTAATCTTTATCTATGGCCTGATTAGCCTGTTGCACCCAATATTCAGTTTTAATAGTGTTCGAATATCTAGGATGACAGAGTTCGTTTTTTCTCACTGAATTGTCAGTCTATTTGACCGGATGTATTTGTCCTAAAGATGGGTTAATTGTATACATGTGCTCTGTCCAATCAATTTGAACAAGTTTGGTGCAGGGAACATATGATCTGTTCTTTGTCACTGTCTAAACCTATTTGGCTATTTGGTTTGTCATGCAATCAAGATGACACTGTACAACCGTTTCGTCTTTGTTGGGAATCGGCGGTGCACATCTCGACCATTAGTTGAACACTTAACCGTTTGGTCACGAGTGGCTGATCAACCACCACTCGAACATGTTGACGTAACCCTATTGTTTGACCGTTTCTTTTGCTTCCGCTTCTTCAAGTCCATTTCCTTAGGCATGATGAAGTTATCGCTATGCTTTCTGATTTATCCGCATTTCTACTGACACACTCCACCACTTCGCTTCACAACGACGCTCTGACAATGTCATCTCGACTGGTGACGAGCCGTTTGCAGCCTATTTGCTGCGGAGATGTTCTAATCATAAAGCGGTGTCATGTCACCCTGTTCAGTAAGAGGGCTCCACCAGAGGTTCTCGGAATTCTCAATTAGCGATAGGATTCCCATGGTCTCTAACGCCTGAATGAACTTTGGAAACCTGGTTGTTTTGTTCCGTATTTTTGTCTCCTTGCTACATTTATTAGTGGTAGAAAGACAACCTGTTTGAAGGAAAAAAGTATTGCGGTTGCGACCACCACTTCATATGATTTGGTTTACGTAAAAGCGTTAATTAGGTTTGCGTGAAAATCGTTGGGTTGTGTGATTTGATAGCAATTTTGTTTTAACTTGTGTGTGTACCAACGTTCAGCTCCCTCTAACTACCTCCCATGACTGACATTCAGTGGCTCGTGTTACAAAAAAAAACGGAACAGGCTTGTTCTGTTTCTGTGTGTGCGTGAAGAAAATATTTTATGCGTTTTTCACCATGCGGTTTTCTTCAGTCTGGGCATTTCCCTATGCGTTAGTCCGCAGCACCCAAACGACGAATTTTTTCGTTGATTAACTAAGATCGGCAGGAACATCGAAACGGTTGAGATTTAGGCCAAGGTCTAATTTTTGTTCGCCTTACCTACCCATATTTGTCACTGAATAGCACTAAGGTAACATTTCGTGTTGGTTTACACGCCCACATCCAGTCACAAAAGTACAAAGCCACCCTCGTTTCACACCATAACCCCACTATGGGATGATTCAGTAGGTGGATAGTGGGTATCGTCACGTCAATGCAAAAAAGCGGTCGACAATGGGCGCGAAATAACTGTTAGATCAATTTATGGTGTCATCCACAGTTTTTCCCATGTAATCCGACCACTTCAATGTAAAACCCTTTCACATGGCTTCGCCTTATTTTAAGTGGACCCTCTATTCCTATTTTGTGGTAATCACTTACCAAGTAAGTCCTACACCCTTGTTTAGTATGTTCTAGTACATTCCATCGCCCCCTCCCCACTGCAAGTTGGCCGGTCCAATAGCCTCACACGGGAGCAGCGGAAGCTAGCTCCTGATTGAGTGAGCGGTGTGCGTTGAAACCTTGCGCTTCCCTGTGACCATAAGCGAACGGTAGGTCTGGATGTACGCATTCAAGCCTTGGATGCAGACCAGGCAGAAAAGTCACCCTCATCTATAACCCCCGACTGAATTTTACCTTTGTATACATGGTATAAATGTGATAATATCTATCATGTGTACAGTTCGTTGCAAACAGTCCAATGTTGATACGCCTCGAGTAGTGGGTCGGTACTTCCGTGCCTCGTTACCAGGACTCCAGGAAACTTGGTTGAATCAGAAAGGCTGAGCAGCCTAGTGCATACGAGTACTGTGAGCAGACACACGGTTACGTTAGGCTGGGATTCCCCGTGGGGATATGTTATATTTGATTATTCCCAGTATACTTTGCGTCCTTATTCGTAGCTTCAAGACTGGTATCATCTCAGGCTTTGTAAGCGCCCGTCAAGCACAGGTTTTCCGAATTAGAACCGATGACTTTGCTCCCTGGGTTACAATAAAGCTGACTGTTTAACCCATTTTATGCCAGGAACATAAATCGTATCTCTGGTAGAATCAGTTTCATGTGGATGGGACTGCTTACACCAAATGTTACCGTATCTTTAGTACCAAGGACATTTTAAAATGTTTTGGTTGCTCCAAATCATATTTGCACTTTTCCATTGGAGTTGGAGTTCACTGGCTCTTCTCTGACTTAGAGGCCGAACATTTCCAAAATTCCAACATTTCAAGAACACCTATTTTCGGCTCTATTTCTTTCCCAGGCTGTATGCTACGTATCGAGACAACAAATATATCTACATGCTTTTAGAAGCTTGCCTTGGTGGAGAACTTTGGACGATATTGCGTGACAGGTGAGCATATCTCCAGTTGTGGCCATCGACTGTCAGGTTTGTTTTGTTCAATTGAAGTAGTTGTGTTTTTGGAACTAATGAGATCGACCTATTAGAAAAGATAGGCAGCCGGATCCTGCAAAACAGATCCCGCTTGATAGATTGAATTTCACAGGCGTTGTTTCCCTAGGTGTCGAAGACTTCGAGCTTAGCGGAGAGTCATTTGGACACCGAGGCGCTCATTATATTCATTACTGGGCGCAGTTTCAGCTTATTCACTTTACTCAACATTTCATATCTGCCAATATTTTTTCGAACTTAAAAGGCATTTATCCAGTGATACCCATTACATTGTAACATATACAGTCAGCATGTTGGTTCACCTATGCAAACTTGTTTTATGGACGATCCTAGTGGGTTTTTAGATTATCATGTGGAGAGACGAACTCTGACTGGAGTTTACACTAATCAGCTTGCACGTTAGCTCGCGCTCAATATGACAGATAAGCAACCATGGCCGCTGGAATCCATGTACCACTTGCAAAATGAAACCTCCGAATTTTGTGATCTGGCCTTTCTATGGGAGAAGACCGTAACTTTGCGACCTATTTGAATGTCCCGCAACTTTTGGAAGACAGTTCTTCATGCCTATACTTGCAAGCTCAGTAGTCACAAAAATCCACTTGGTATCATTCCAGGTTTTCATTGCTGAACTAATCCACAAGCCAGATGGATTCTTTTCCATTGAAGACATCCTGTAAACACTACTTGCGTAAAATCTGCGCCCTATAACCGGAAGAATGTATGAATCCAGTCAAATCTATATACTTACCACTAGAGAACTGGTGTGTCCACTATTTAGCTATTCACTGCACTTTGTTGGACGTTGATGGGGAATCACTAAATCGTAGAACCATTGTCTACGTTCCCACTCGCTTCACACGTTGGTAGATCACAAGATTTACGCTTCACTTGAGAAACTTCTAAGAGCGATCATGAGAAATGCTGAATCTGTTCACCGCCTCCACATGCTTGCGTAGCCGGATGAGATTCGGTCATAGGGATCATGGGAAATTACTTATTTTAGTGAGTGTTGAGCGAAACCAATGATACGGTTTTGGCTTGCAACCAACCTTTTGAGTGTTTTACTTTGTTTGACCAAAAATAGCGCCCACGTCCTTAGGCATGCTTCGTTGATTCCCTCTCGCCCCCTCCTCTCTTTAATTTCCTCAGTCATCATCTGGACGATAGAACAACTCGGTTTTGTCTGGCCTGCTGTATAGAGGCTCTGGATTATCTACACGCTCACGGTATCATCTATCGGGACCTGAAACCGGAGAATATGCTCATTACCGCCAAGGGCTACATAAAGCTAGTGAGTTCCTTGATAGTTCGTCGTGCGAATTGATGGTAATTCTAACTCCCTCTGGATTGTCTGTCCAAGTTCGGTAGTCGGAACAGCCTGCTAGCGTTGTCAAGATGTCTGGTTATGGCATACTGCGTCACATGAGGAAACATGTTTACGCTAGAATTGATATTGGCTACCCCTTCTAAGGCGGGAAACCCTGAAGACTGTAACCCGTTCCCAAACACTAAGGAATATTTTCTCAAAAAAACAGAACATCGGGAGATAAATGCCACGTAGCCTCGTATAGGAGTGATCTCTCCTCGGATAAATTGCTTATTACGCCATTCTTTAAAAAAATCAACCTACAGCGTGGGTATGGACAGAGCGAGCTCAAGGTGTCTCAGTGGTTAAAGCGTGAATTTACTTACGGAAAGGTCCGTGGTTCGAACCCAACTCCTGTATCTCGACGGTTCCTCTCTAAGCCTGGGCAACGGGGCAGTATCTCAGTCCTCGTCCTTCTTTCAGGTAGCATGTTTGCTAGGCACCGGAATGGTGTTACAGCTGAACGATTATTATTATTATTATTATTATTATTATTATTATTAATATTATTATTATGGGTGTGGACACGAAGGTGGGTTGTGTCTTTTCACATAATCTCGGCATTTATCTAGCCGCTTGCCTTGTGATACTCATTCTAGTTACGTTAGACAACCCGTACTTTCAAATTAAGGACCTGCACACCCATTAATGGTAGGTTTTTTAACGTGGCTTGGGTACGGAGATGTAACCGTGCATATATTAATCATATCCCAGCTATTGCTTCTATAGCGGAACTGCTTTCCCCGGGTGTATAAAGAGCCGCGCGTTGCAAACGTATACAACATGGCAGGAGAATAGAAGCAGAAGGATATAGACACTTGGAGATAGAAGCTGACCCCGCTTATCGAACTAGTTGAACGTGTTATTAGGTCAGTACCGTAAACGTGTCCCCATACACTACTCTTGACTATCTATAGGCGTGACAACGTCCCTGGTATCTTCTGGATGTAGTGCAGCGTTAATTCGTGTAACTTTGGGAAATCATCCTGAGGTGAGGAATGCTGGAAATGTT